AAGGCTGGTTGGCACATCAGAGGCACTCAATAAATATTTATTTAATAAATAAATATTAGATAAAGCTAACCCCCTCTTCCCTTTAAAAATTAACCAAAGTTATGAGGGGTGAATTTTCTCAACTTCAACCTTCCCCCTTCCAGAGTTAACTGCATCCACATCCAGGCAGGAATCCATTAACTCCTTCCTCAGAATATAAACTGCTCCTATACTCAAAAGCCAGTCTTCCACCTGTATTTTGAGCTAACTTCTTCCTGTCTTTTCTAAGACTGCTCAGTCACATTTTCCTTGTATTTTTTTTACTGCTATTCTCTTTCTGTACTTCAACTACCCTCTCCTCTGGCTTCTTTCCTTCAGCATATTGATATGCCATTAAGAAAATAGACCTCTCTGTAATATTTGCCCAATTTCCAATTATCCTTGCTGCATTCTAGGATCCTCAGTTCAGTGCCAAACCTCCCACTATAATTTCTGACACACAGAGAAGAGCAATCATAGAACTCTTCATGGTTGCTGGGGCTCTCCTCACAAATTTACTTTCCAAAATCACAGTGAAAGGAGTGTTGTCTAGACTCTCTGAAGGTGGGTGAGCAGGTCTCAAATGATGAATCCACTTTACCATTCCATTCTCCCTAAGCCTTTGGATCCTTTTCTCTATAGTACGTCATGGCAGTTCAGGCATTTTAACTTCATTTAGCATGGGTCACCTTTTCGTCCACGTTTTAGCCTAACGACCAAAGTGTTAGAGCTCTTTCTAACCCCTCAAGTTAGAATGGTGAATCCAGAATCTCTGTTTAGTGGTCCTATATCAATAAATTCAACCTGATCCAACTTTATGTTCCTGCCACAATTATTCTACACTTTTAATGTCTATTTCCACACATATTCCCCAGATTCCTATTTGTGTAAATTTTTTTAAAAATCTGTTTTTTAAGACTGTGGCACAACTCTTCATGGGTCACATTTTGTAGCTGACCCTTAGGGGCCTGCTGGATTTGAGTCCAGTTATAGGTCTAGAACCAAGAAAGAGTAGTAGGAGTAGTTCTTGAGGAGAATTAGCAATATCTCTCAAAACAATCACCCCAGGAAAGACCATTACAAGTTAGTTATTCAGGATAAGCAGGGTTAACTTCCTTTTTTAAAAAAAGTTTTTTTAAGAGATTTTATTTATTTATTTTAAGAGGGAGGGTAAGGGAGGGAAAGGAGGAGAGAAATATCAATGTGTGGTTGCCTCTCCCACAACCCAGGCATGTGCCCTGAACTGGGAATCAAACCAGCAACCTTGCAGTTCTCAGGCCAGCACTCAATCTAGAGCCACACCAGCCAGGGCAACTGGGTTAATGCCTTCAAAAGGGTGGCAAAAAAGACTGATCAAAATTTAGGGGTTCATTATCCCATTCCAAATTTGAGGATCTCATTCCTTCCCAACCAATCCCCCTTACTTTAACAGCAGACATTCTGTTAGATTGGGAATTCATTCTGTACTGTAATTCAGCCACTCCGCAGGATGAGACTCTGGGGTTAGTTTTCAACAATCTCAGTTCTGCAGCAAGAGCAGAGAAGAGTTTCTTTAGAGCAGACACAGAAACGTTCAGGTCAATTATGAAGAGATTAATTGACCTGGGAATTTGAAGATGGAACTCATTCTTTTCTTTCCCCACTTTTTCCAGCACAGTTAGGAGCAGCGTCTCACTGCACTTGTTAATTTGACAAAAAAATGTTTTAAGTGGCCAAATGCATGATTATCTAGAACCCCGTGTCTTCTAAGTATTTAATCAGGAGTGTCCAATGGTGACGTTTTATGTATCTCTATTGCCACCTCACACCCTAGACTATAAGTGCTCTCTTTATCACTAAAAATAGCCATCAGTGCCTTTAAATCTAATCAGATTCGGGAACCAATTCCTCAAACACCATAACCAATTCAGATAACTCATTCTTAAGATTCTGTTCCTCTAGAACCACTCGAGGTACTAAAATTTGAATCAGATAGGGTTCTACAGAAATACAGAACCAATAAAAGAAAATATATAAGTATATTACCTACCTATATCTCTTTAGATAGATCTTTCTGTTAGATATCTATTATTAGATTATTTATCTCATAGATAGATACAGATTTATTTTAAGGAACTGGCTCACATACTTGTGGAACTAGCCACTCTGAAATATGTAGGTCTGACATGCAGGCTGGAAACAAAGGCAGAAATCAATGCTGCAGTCTTGAAGAAGAATGATTTCCTCTTGAAACACTCTGGTTTTAAATTTAGGCCTTCAATTGATTCCATAAGGTCCACCCACATTTTTAAGGGTAATCTCCTTTACTTAAAGTCAATTGATTTTAGATGTTAACCACACCTTGAAAATACCATCGCAGTAACACCTAGATTAGTGAATGATTAAATAACCAGGTACTATATAGCCTAGTTAACATATGAGTCACTACACATAAAAAATAGAGATTTCTCAACCAAGTCTTACTTTCAACTACAGAAAAAAACCTTTTAAACTGGAATATCTTATGTGCTTCAATAAGGCAGTAAAATTTTAGTAGGGACACTTGAGAGTGGACTGAAGGGATAGTCCTTCCTCCCAGATGTTTTGGAAAAACAACTTTTTGGTAAACCACCTGTATTTCCTACCTGTAAGAACATCATTTTAGGGAGCTGTAACATTGTATCTAGGTTTTAAAAACAATGTTTATGTTTCAAAAGTGTGATCTTCAACTCTACACCAGAAATCACACTTTAAAATGGCAAATCATTTTGAGAACTAATGACTGAAAAAAGAAGGACGGTATCTATTGGATCTGTTGCTTGTCCTTAATCTGACCAGAAAATTTATAAATTGCTACTTCATTTTCTTTCGCTGACAAAGTATAATCCAAACCAGGTGGCGTGAGTGGGTGAATAATGGGCCAAATAATCAAAACAGCACATAAAGAAATTTTATCTGTCCTTTAAAAAAATCTACTTTTAAAAACCTTTCTTGGCAATTCATTTATTCAATAAACACTGCTATGTGCCAGGCACTGTTCAAAGCACCTGGTTAAGTCCCTGAACAAAATGATGATCCTCTCTTGGTGGATCTCACATTCTAGCAAGATACCCTTACCCAACTATTTTTCTCTAATGATCCAAGCATTAAGAAGTTATCGAAACATTTTCTGAAAATCTACTATGTATCAGATAGTGGAAAGCCAAACTTCTAGTCATGAGTTTGGCTTTCTAGCAGGCACTGTTTCATTATTATCACAGAGTTTGGTTTCTGGAGCTAGACCACCTGGGACCAAATCCTAGTTTTACTAATTCCCGGATGCACAACCTTGGCCAAGTTATTTAACCTTCATCTGTAACACAAAAATAATCGCAACAACTATCCCACTAAATTATGTAAGAGTTAAATGAGTTCAAATGTGTAAAGCACTTAATCTTGCACAGGGAGGGTACTACAATATTAATTATTTTAATTTTAATTCAATTTCCAGAAAACCAGATATTACACATGTAATAATGGGAAAAATAACATGAACAGCAATTTTAGAACATTTTTACCTGGTCCAGACGTTTCCCTCTCCACTAATAACTACTTTCAAGAGTTGTATTCTCAACTGAATTTACATGACTTACAGTTAAGTTTTATAAAAACTACAAAATGTGAGCTCCCTACATCTCACATGAAGCAATTCATGATGGAGTTTGTATAAACACATAGTAAGAGGCTTTTAATCTAATATAAAATTTCTTTAAAAATCGAAATTAGACTCATTTTCCCTCAAGTTACAACTGCAATTATCTCAAGAAACTTTCGCATCAGAATCAGCAAATAGGACCATGTAATTGCTGGATGGATTATGTAATATCTAATGCCTGGATGTGTAAATAGTATGTTCAGTCTCTAAGACCTATATGTTTGCAGTCAATATACATGAACCGAAGTCAATTCCCAACCTAGCTCACAGAATCTAGTAAAACTACAAGGACAATCATCTAAAATGGATGGCTCAACTTCATTTGTTAAAAATAGACCTCATTCATTCTTGGTTCAAAGTTTATAAAGGGCCAACAATCTCAGAAGGTTAATGGCCACTATTTGGAAGTTGAGTGGAGTATTTAAGTACATGCTGCAAATGTTGCCTTCCCCAAAGCAAAGGCTACTCACTAATATAACTGCCCCAGCTGACAAGTAGGCAGGCTAGTAAAACACATCTTTAAAACTGCTTTTAAAAGGACCAATTTAAGATGGATGATAAAATGTGACCACGTTTTCACACTTTTAACGTGGGGAGGTGCTGAGGCGCAACACAAAGTCACAACTAGTCTACAGGTATGGTTTTGACCCCAATCTCAGTTGAAAGCCCTCACCTATGGAACTTTTCCGTTTCAATACTGTAGGTGCCTTTGACTCTCCAGTGGAAATTTGAGGGACAGGCAAAGAAAGTGTTATCTCCCTCAGCCACCCCATCAAAGTCCAGACAACAAAGAATACTACACTATGAGACTTTTCTCAAGGATAGGTTTGGTCGGCCTTTTTCTCCCAAATCTGAGAGCTTAGACAGGCCTCCTCGGAGGGAGGTGTGGCACGTCTTCCCAAACAAGGCGTTAGGGAATAATCTGCCAGTCCCTAAGGAAAAGAAACAAATTGCTCATTCTTAAGACAGCTCCGAGGACGGGGATACCCAGGCTCTTGCTCAGCAGGATTGTGAAGAAGGGAAGAACAGGGGTTGGAGGGTTACAGAGCAGACAGCTGAAAAAGTCCCAAAGGCAGGACTGATCCTGACACTGGCCCGAGAGAGAAGGGAGGGGGGTGATCTCTTTCGGCCGCTGGGGTGGTGAGCAGGCAACTGTGGACGACCCCTGCCCCACAGGCGGATCTCTGACACAGCCCGAGGAGCAGTGCAAGCCGGGTTCGCGCCCCGGGTCTGGTCCCCAGTACGCACCAGAATGAAGGTGCCCTCTCCACCCCTCCCGCTGCCCTTAAAGGTCTCGGGCCCAGGCTACCTCTTAGGACGTTGAAACCGCTGCCGCGTCCCACCGCAGAGGCCAGACGACAGCTTCTCAGATGCCACCACGGTGTCACTCAACAAAGTGACCTGGCTGAACGTAGGTCAGGATACCGGAACGCACACGGCTCCAGTGGACGCCAGCTTTCCCACCACCCCCTAACCGCGCCCACTGGCAACGTGCTTGACACCGTGTGGGCCTCTGTGCTACTCCCTCAGCACGCCGCCGCGCGCAGCACTGCGGGACTCGTAGTTTCGGTGCGAAGGTTTCGCGACGCTCCATTCACCGCCCTGAGCGGAGTCACGTGCCCGCGCACTCTCCGGAAATGGGTTAACAGCAGTTGGGGGAAGGCGCCGGGTGCTTCCGCAAACAGAACGAAGGGTTTCCGTTCCGGTAAGTGTGGAGGCTGGAACTCCGGCCTTCCCTTTCATTTTATTTGGATCCTCCGCCGCCATCCAGGTGGAAGGCGAGTCCTGACACGAGTTCGTTTTGTGTTACCACTGTGCCTTCAACATCCTTTGTGAGGTGTTTATTGTGCCTTCAGTGCGAAGCAAAATGGGCAGTACTTGGAGTCAGCGGGATCTAGTGCTCCTCCAGAGATAGCGAGTCCTGGTCTGGAAAAGCTTGAGAGCTGTGTTTGAACCGTACTTTAGGGCCCCGCGGTGAGGACGAGGTAGGGAGGGGATGTCATATGTGAAGGAGCGTTTGTGTGTGTTGAGCGGCGTTTTAGAAACCTGAGCCGAAGGTTTGGTTCTGAGTAGGCCGTGACAACGACGGAAAAGGGTGAACTTCACTGAAAAATTATCGCCTTGTCGCGTCTTCCTGGGCCCACTAGTTGACCTAGTCTAACTGCCGGGTCGGGAAGGAGAGCTTTTGAGTTGACCTTTAGCCCAGTGGTCCTAGCGCTCAGCTTGGTTCTCTGAGCAACTGAAATGAATGAGAGGGCTTGCCTGAGAGGTAACTGGAAAGGCAGATGGAAATGTCTATTTGGTTATTTATTGCACATCCAACTAGATGTCAGTTGACTCTTCCCTAAGCGCCTTCCTCCAGAATTCTGAAGGATCCTCTTGCGTTTGGAATTGATTCATCATTCCACTCTGGCTCTCAGTTTCAAACATTCTTACCCAATTCTGTTGTCGGTTGGAGTTCTTTGTGATTTATTATGTCCGCATTGATTGTTTTTATGACATTTCGTCTGTAGAAATAGAGTTACCTACATAAAGAAAATTCACACCTATTTCCAATACTAATTTCAGGTGTTAGTTACAGCTGAAAATGATAAATCACATTGGTTCATTTTAATTTAAATCCTATTTCCGTTCTTCTTTAGGAGATAAATGACCGAGAAGATAAGGACTTGATAATTTGGAAACCACTTTTACTAGATAATCATTTTAAGTAGCCATTCTGCAAATTACTTTTTTTGAGTGATGGCATTTCAGCTCCTATTTTGGATGTCTTAGTATTTTGTTAACTCAAACCTTGAATAGCGAACGTTCCATACCCCTTGAAACTTGCCAATTTATAATGACTTCTTGTTATCCATTCATTCCCTCAAGCAACTTTATTTCTTATTAGTACTCCCATATTAGCATATTCAGAAATTTCTTAACTCAAAAGACTCTCCCCCTCCCCTTCATAACTTTCAGGCTCTGAATTTACTGAAAGTCACTGATTTTTGGACTTCTGCTTTCCCTTTTCCATATATTTTGAGTAATACAGGCTAACATTTTAATAATGGTATATAAGCTGTAAGCTTCTTGAATACTAATTCACACAGTACCTCATAGAGCTCCTCTGTAGTAGGACTTCAGTAAATTCATTGACTGACAATAAATACATCACTATAACAATTCCTGTCCAGGCGACAGTTCACTTATTTCCCTCCCAGTCCCATTAGGCCTAAGAACATTTGAAAGGGATGTAATGTTTATTTAATTGCAGACTGAGTTGAAACTTCTTGTCCAAAGCCACTCCTTTTACTTTCAACCTAATTCGGATACCTGTCACAAAATAGGGATTTCAGAAGTTGACTGTAAATTCCCACACTTTTCTTGTTCTTGATGCTGTTAGTGCCTTTGTTTTTTTTCTCCAGTGTCTTGGCCAAAAACAATAACAACAACAACAACAAAAACCCTACCAGTACCACTCATAAGTAGTTTAGTCCAAAGAATTTAAGGATTTATGTCGTAACAACTTTATTTTTAAAATATTACAAAAACTGAAAGAAAAAATAATGTTTGTGTTTAATTCTCAGTTAACCACGAGTCTTTACTAATGAAATGTGTACACCTTTTGGGTATTGTACAACTTCTCTAGCCTTGAAATAAGATTCAGCGTCACAAATTTCATTTCTTCGTTTCCTATTTAACTGATTTTCTTCTGTGCCACAAAAACCTCAGCTTCACAAAGTTATGAAGTCATTAAATGATGTAGTGCAGTGTATTTAGCTGAAGGTGTGAAGCCATATATGGATATCTTCCAGATATCCAATATCACTGTGCTTCCCTTAAAAGTTTAAAATAATTCTGCTGTGCCTATAATTTGGGAACCAAGACTATAAGAGTAAGTATCAGAATAGAAAAGGAATTTGTATGCCCCAACTTCATTTGTCAGTTTTAATGCCAATAGTGACTATTATGGGTAAGATTATAGAAGTGTTTGGGGATTGTAATTAGCACTGTCATATTGGCCTATTCATAAAATCGCATTAATTTAAATTAACATTGTTTTTATGAGATTTAAAAAAAAATTCCTAATTGATCACTGAAATTAAATGGTTAGCTTCTGGTTTAAATTGTTTTAAAGTGTTTATAAGTAAAATCAAATTTCTGCCATTTCAGTGTTAGTTTATGAAGTTTTACTATCTGTTGAAATAATCAAAAATGGATAATTTTGCAAAAGCAGAGGAATGTGAAAAGATCTCTCTTGAAGAAACAAAAACATCAATAGATTCAGAAACAGAGTCTTCATTCAGTATTAATGAAAACACAGCCCCTCCTGGGTCTAGGCTTTTTGAGAAGACGCCTACCTATGGGCAAGTAGACACACCGAAAAAGAGAAAAATGGAGTTTGCAGATGATGTTGTAAAAGAGAGTTCCAGTCGTGGGGAAGATATTCCATCTAAGAAAAGAGTTGATGCTGAAATTGTCCCAGAGGACAAAGGTTCTGGTGATGATGAAGGCATTTCAAGGAAAAGAAGACTGGAAACTGATGATTTTCCAAAAGATGAACCTTCTCCTGGAGATAGCAGTCAGAAAAAGAGAAAAATAGAACTTGAGGATGTTCCTGAAAAACAAAGAGTATGTCCATCATATTTTTCTTTATTTGTAAAATTGAATGTCAAATTGAAATGTGGAGCAGCTGTGAATCCTGGTTTTTATGTAATTGTAATAATTTCAGAATGTTCTTTTTTATTGTGTTAAGATAGCGTAAGCTTTTAACTCTTGTACTTTAATTGTTTTTTTTTAGTTGAAACTTCCAATGAGATCATTTTTTTCAAATAATCTATGTTTGTTTTTAATATTATTTTTACAGATTTTTATTTATCTATCTTTAGAGGGGAAGAGAAGAGAGGGAGAGAAATATCAATGTATGGTTGCCTTTTGTGTGTCCCCTGCTGGGAACTGGCTTGCAACTCAGGCATGTGCCCTGACTGGGAATCGAACCTTAACCCTCTGGTTTGAAGCCTGCACTCAATCTACTGAGCTATACCAGCCAGGGCTAATGAGAGATCCTTTTTATGTTGTCAGAAGTCTCACTTGACCAGAAAATTTAAATCGAGTTTTTATAGTTTGCTTTTTCTTGACGTTTTAAAAAAGACAAGAGTATGAGGTCCAGATGATTTACTTTTTCTCATTTTATTAGGTGTTTATCTCTTTTTTGTATCTGAAGTAGTTGAGATTACCACTTAAAATGATAAAATTTCAAAATCATATCCAGCTTTACATTCCTTTTCTAATGTAGTTCCTTCAACCATATTGTTTCAACTTCTTATTTAGGTAATTACATACAGTTTTAGTTAAGTGGATGCAAAAACCTGGTATTTAGCAGGGATACTATAGGGCAGGGAGTAGCAGGTCATTTTCTTCTGGGAGTATAATATTGTGAAGGAATCTGAGGCAGAATCTGGGTCTGGAGGGAAAGAGAACTTCAATAAATGAGTAAAATTCTGCCATCAGCCAGTGAAGAGGAAAAACACAGGCTAAGCATTTGTCATTAGTGCTCTGGAGAGTGAATCCTTGTAACAGAGAGAAGTTTGTATTATAAACATAGTTTCAAACTTTTACTAGCAACAGAACCCTCTTCTCAAGTGAAAATCTTAAACCTCATGTGTAAAATAGGTAAAAGATGAACCACTTTGGTTGAACAGGGAAGTATGGGGATCTGAAACCCTTCATCTATCGTGGGATTTTTGCAGAATGCTTAGGACCTTAAGTAGGGAGCATAAATTGAAAATGCTGAATTAGATTAATAGCAAATAGTAGTGGGAATCACTGACACTGAATATAGCCAATTGAGTTCTAAACCCTTGGTGTGTATGATCTCATTTAACAGTCAACTATTTTATAAATAGTTCCTATTTTATTTTCTTGTAGGAACCTTCCCTGACTGGCATTTATTGAGTTGAATAAATCAGAACTGGAAGAGTACTTATTTTATTAAAACTTTGATAGAAAAATTATACAGACAAAAGACCAAGATGAAAATTTGAAACCTAGAGATGTTTTTAAAAATAGGGAGTGGGAGAAACAAGTCTTATGTCTGATTATAATTAGTGGGATTTCTGTAGTTAATGCCTTTATTTAATGGAATTTATCAATTTCAGTAGCATTTTATCCTTGTATAGGTCATATGCTGTTTTAGGTTTATTTTTTGCCGTGTTCTAATTCTTAATTTTTTTTTTCAATTGTCTTATTTTCAGAATTTAGAAGAAGGACACAGCTCAACAGTGGCTGCTCACTACAATGAACTTCAGGAAGTTGGTTTGGAGAAGCGTAGCCAAAGTCGTATTTTTTACCTAAGAAACTTTAATAATTGGATGAAAAGCGTCCTCATTGGTATGATTGTTTTGTTTTATACTTTGGAATTTTGTATTTTAGCTAATGTCTCATTTTTTCCCCCTTGAATGGTTAATCATACACCAAATTTCTAGATCTTTAAGTCCTGTTCATTTAATTGTCAAATCTTGGCTTTGTAAAACGGAAGCCAAAACTAAAACT